TTATTTCGTCGTTTTATATATTTATAAAGCATTCAGAGAACTTTTTTTTGTATGTAAAGATTATCAAAAGAACTTTTTTTAAATGATTTTTTTGTTGTTCAAATTATGCCATTTTTTGTGTGTGTTGCATAAAAAATACGGTTTCTCTTTTTGCCTGTTCTTAGCGACCTGTGATGCATCAATGCAATATTTTGTTTGCCATTTGCAGTGAAGGAAACTACAAACTTATAAATTCTCTCGTTGTTGTTGTTGGCGAGTGTTCCAACAACAAAAACAATGACCAGTAGCATTGTATTTTTTTGTATTTTTTTGTTGGTTTCATATTCATTGTTTATTATGTATATTTGCTAGGCTGTGAGTATATAAAATGCGTGTAAACTGGTTTAGTTTAATCTGCAGTGCGTAAACATGTGAACAGAGTGCCAAGTGTTGCACACATCAGGTCGCCAAAGGTCAAAGGTCGTCTCATTGCCAGGTCATAATAGGTCATTCAGAAGTCATTCACAAATTCGGGTCAGGACGAAAGAAAAGAGATAAAAGGAAAGACTTCAAAAGATGTTGAAGAAGTGAAACATGAAGAAGAAAAAAAAAAAATATGTGAGAGATGTAAATTTTTTTGTGTTGATGTTTCAGTGTGCGAAAGAAAGGTCATATTTTTATTTAAACTCGTGTATTTTGCATGAAATGGACTTATTTATTTATTTTTTACTCTTTTTTACGACAGTCATGTTGTTCCCATAGACTCAGAATGGATTTTCGCCAAATAGAGTTATTCATATATTGGCTCCATTGCAATTTGAATACAGTTTGTCCACGTCTAATCAACTTGTGTTTATTATTTTTATTGTTATTATAATCACTATTTCGATTGGTAATTTCGATTGGTAATCTAAAGGAAAATGGGTTAATTGGCTGAACTGTGTCAGAGCTCAGCCAATCATAACCTTATGAACAGCCCAAGGAATTTTTTTTTTAATTTTATTTATTATCATTATCATTGTTCAGATTTTGGTGTCATTGGCGTTATAACTGAACAGTGTTGATCTAATAAAAGTAAAGGTATATAAACACAGGTCGTGATATATTTGGCATCTCTGTCACCAGCATATATTTCTGCCTTACTGACATGAAGCAAGGTTTTTTTTGTTTGAAGAGGGATCATTGTTCTTAAAGGTTTATGAGTATACTTAGATCACCTAAATTGATATTCAGTTATCATGGACATTATTTATCTTTTTATTTAAATTAAATATAATATGTCATGATCTTCCCCCCTCTCCCTTCCCCCCCCCTCTCCCCAATCCCACCCCCCCAGTTCCCCCCCCCCACCCCCCAAAAAGTTCCCCCCCCCACCCACCCCCAGCCGCCCCCCGCCCCTTCTTCCCCAGTCAAAAAAATAGAAGAAAAAAAAATGTTGCATCTCCCCCTTCCCCTCCCCCTCTACCTGAGAGCGCTGTTATAGATTTGTTCATACCCCGCTACCCCCCCCCCCCCCGCCCTCAGACCTCCACCCCCCACCCCCCGTCCTCTGACCCCTCCCCCTCCCCCCCCCCCCCCCCTCCCTCCCTCCACGCAAGTCATTCATAAAGGTTTATTAAGAAGGAAAATGGAGTAATTATTATATCTTGAGTCCTAGACGTTGTGACAGGCGCAGTATTATTATGTGACGGTCTGAGTGATATTGACACTTATACGTACTATATATAAGGCTCATTTCTGTTCGCGTTTCTTTATATATATATATGATATGATATGAAAAGAATGCCAAAGGAACGAATGTTTTTGCCTTTCTTTAAAAAAAATAAAAATGTTATTTATTTAAATAATGATTGTTTTTTCCTCTTATTTATTTCGTCAATTTTTATTTCGGAACTTGGATTATAATTATCATTTAAAAAAGAGACTATTTCTGTGGTTTATATATGCAAATTTGCTACTGACGAGTATGTCTACAAATGAGCTTTATCGTGTGAGTGTTTAAGGGTCAAACTCGCTGATCGTATCGCACAGATGATGCTATTATTGACTGTGTATGAAATGATGTTGATGATTATTAATGAATGGACTCTGGTGTCTTAATTATTGATAGTGTGTATATAATAAAAAAAGGAAGACCGTGTTTGTAAGGAGAAATATTTTTGTAAAAAATATTGAAAACCCAATGTGTAATGATTAAATTTTTAAGTTTGAAGCTATTTATCTAGTGTTTTCTTTAAACCTGTTTTTGTTTTACATTAAAATGATGATAAGTGAGATTTTTTTTTAAAAAGAATCAAAGCAAGTACATTAGTTTATTTAAGAGGTGAAAATGAAACAAAAAATGATAACAAGATAAAACGTTACATGATGGATTTGAAAAAATATAAAATAAAAAAAATTAAAAATTATCTAAAAAAATGATACTGAAAAAGTCAGGAGAAAATAGAAAGAAACAACAAACAAAAATAACAAGAAAAAAACAAGGAATGTCAATAAAAAAATAATATCAGATCTAAAGATGAAATACGTTAAGAAAATCATTTCATTCTAATAATTGCAAAGGAAATGATACTGTATGAAGGTATACCATATTCGGATTCTATTATCTTCCTTTGTCTCTCCTCCTTCCCCTTTATCTCTCTCTCTATCTATCTCAATTTATCTCTTTCTAGCCATTTATCTATCTATCTATCTCAATTTATCTCTCTTCTCTTCTCTCTCTCTCTCTCTCTCCTCTCTCTCTCTCTCTCTCTCTCTCTCTCTCTCTCTCTCTCTCTCTCTCTCTCTCTCTCTCTTTCAATTTCTCTATCTGAATTTCTCTCTCTCTCTCTCTCTCTCTCTCTCTCTCTCTCTCTCTCTCTCTCTCTTCTCTCTCTTTCAATTTCTCTCTCTTTCTCTCTC